GAATACAAGACAAGGGATATTATTGTTTCACTGTATAGATCACTTGTAAGGCCTCATTTAGAGTACACTGTACAGTTTTGGGCTCCCTTCCTCAAGAAGGACATTGAATTGTTGGAGAAGGTATAGAGAATAGCCACTAGGATGATACCTGGGATGGTGGGATTGTCCTATGAGGAGAGACTAAAATATCTAAACTTGTTTTCTCTGGAGAGGAGAAGGGTCAGCGGGGATTTGATGGAAGTGTTTAAGGTTTTTAAGGGTATTGATAATATAGATCCATCAAATTGTTTTTGCGTTTAGCAGTGACAAGGGGTCATAAATTCAAATTTTGGCAGCGTAGGAGTCATCTGCAGTTTAGACAGTATTACTTTTCAGTCAGGGTGATTGGCTTTTGGAATGAGTTGCCTTCAAGGATGGTGGAGGCAGAAAATTTAACTCAGTTTAAGAAAAGATTGGATGAATACATGAGTATTAAGGGGTGGTTATATTTGGGAGCTGGAAGGGACATCTATAATGGGCAAATAAGCTCCTTTTTGTCCCTTTAAAAGTTTATGAATTTTATGAACAAATTCAAATGGGCCAAAAAACACAATACACAACATAGCAAATTAAACAAACATTAACTAGTATTCTGATTTTAAACAAACCTTAACCAGTATTCTGATTTTAAACACACCTTAACTGGTATTCTGATTTTAAATAAACATTAACTATCAGTCCAGAATTTGATGTTAGTTTGTACGTTGACCAGGCATGGAAGTGGTAATTTCTTGACATAGCACATAATGTAAATTGTTCAAATGTTTTGTTTAACTAAAATCTTTCCACTGTATGTTTTTTCTGACATACATACATACATATGTACTATATAGAATACACTATTGCCATAGTATTAAAATTCAAGTTTTCTTGGATAATTTGATTATTTAGTTTCCTATTACTTAAATATAAGATTAACTTTTACCACCATGCCAACTAATACATTAAAAAATTTTCTTACAGGTGCTGGTGCACAGTGGAATAATATATCTTCTTCATCTTCTCCTGATGATAAACTGTCACTTCAGTTGATATTTTTAATGTTAGTTTTTGATGGCATCTTGTACTTGGTCCTTACATTGTACATTGAAACTGCCTTTCCTGGAGAATACGGGGTTCCACAACCTTGGTACTTCCCCATTTTGGTATGGTTGGCTCCTCATTCTACTGAATCCTTTATACTTCTGTATGTTATTTTGGTACAGGAATTGTCAGAAAAATATTTTATCTTGTAGAAGCATTTTTATATAGATTAAGATATCTGTTACAAAATGTGGTTACATTTTATTTAATTTGATATTATTTAATTTTTGTGATGCATATTGGTGTATAAAAGACATTTTAATACTAGAAGTAAACAACCTTATAATATAAGGTTAACAGCTTTTTTCAGAACCATCCCACTCAAACAAAACTGATTATTTGAACCATTTGGAGCTTTGTACTGCCAGTAATGGTTTGTGTTTAGTAGAATGCTTCCAATTCTACTTGAAGTTATGTCACATGATGTAGAAACTTTACATCTCCTGAAGAAGAATAGTCAACTATTCGAAAGTGCTCGAGTTTTGGGTTTTATTTTAAGTTTATTACATTTTATATGTGATCCTTTGTGCTAACTCTTTTATCAAGATTGGGAATGAAATTAACGTTATAATGTATGTTATGATTTGAAGTTTTATGTTACCTACATTTTAAGTCCTTTATTTCAAAAGAAACCTTTAAAAACTACTTAAAACTTCAGATGTATTTGTCATGTGACCCACAAGCAATGAATTATCTCAACTTTGGCACTCTGTATCTTGTTTAAGGTAATGCTGGTCATGTAGATGTACATCTAGACAATAAGTTTGTTTACGTAACCTACTGACACATACAGTAAGTTTGTTTACTTAACCTACTGACACATACGATAAGTTTGTTTTCTTAACCTATTGACACATACATTCCAAAGTTCTTTGGATGAATGCAGTTGAAACAAGTAATAAATTTTGTCAACCTCTGACAGGTGCCATGGTCGTCTTCTATATACATTTATTCAATGCATGTATATAGTTGTTAGAAAGAGCTCATTTTACACTATAATCCAACAATACTTATATTGAAATTGGCAAGAATATGTATCTGGCTGCTTTATCCATGATAGCACTTACAGGTATATCTGGGGACTTACAACTCTAGAAACTGGGTTTCGATACCCATGGTGGGCAGAGCACAGATAGCCCACCCTTGTGTAGCTTTGTGCTTAACTACAAACAAACAAGCACTTACATTTTATCTTAGCTAAATATGTTATAGTTAGAGAGACAGTTAAATTATATTTTGGTCTTATTTTTATATCTTAGTTAATTATGTATTATATATGTTTTAAGATCTATAATTGAAAGATTTAAACATTTTTCAAATACACATCATACTTTGTGTCAGTTCTCAAGGCATAAGTTCTTGTGCAATGGGAATATAATGTTATGACAGTGGAAGTCGCGTGATGCTGGGAGCATGCGCGATGGAGATTCTCGAATTATCAAGGAACCCCGCAAATGTCTGACTGTTTGCTAGACACCCTCTTTTTTAGTATATAAGCCTGGCGAGAAAAACCAGCGGGCACACACTCAACAATGCCCTTTTCTTAAGTGTCTGCTCATATTTAGAGAAATTAGCCACTGTTATGGGTATTACTTGATGACCTGGCACAAGTGACCTTCCAATCTTCACGTCTGCTGGCCTGGATGGGTTTTCCACTGCTTCCACAAGCATCGGGCTTCCTTGGGGATGTTCTTCTATTCTACCCCAAATTATCTTCTCTGACATAGGGGGGTATTGTAGTTGACTTAAGTGCTGTGACATGCATATGAACAGAGGCAGCAACATTTACCAAAATGCTTCGACATTCATTATCAGCATTGCCTGACTTGACCAGAAGTTTCTCACCTAGATTACACTCAATTTCTGTTGAAGTGACTACAGCAAAACATGAGAATAAGAAAGGAATTATCCCCTTATGTCTACCACTGCCAAAGTTTGCTGCTTCTCTTCGGTCACCCAAAATGTCACCAAATCCTCTTACTTCTCCAAAAACTATTGTGTCTAGCCCCATAGAGATAAGGATGGAAATATGTCAGACTCTTTACTATAGCAAGAAGTTCCCTCTGTGTTACACAGTAGTTCCTCTGCTCAGGATCCTACTGAAGTAGGCCTCCACATGTTCGTTTTCACCCACTTTCTGAGACAACACTCCTCTAATTCCGACATTACTAGCATCACAATCCAGTATGTATGGCAGTGAGGGATTTGGAAGCTTTAAAAGTGGAGATGAGGCCAATTTTTTCTTTCAATGTCTTGAAAGCATGTTGGCAAGAAACTGTCCATTTGAACTTCTGGCCTTTTTTTTGTCAAATCATGTAGTGGAGCAGCTATAGTTGCAAAGTCCTTCACAAACTTCTGGTAACAGGTACAGAGTCCCAAGAAACTTCTTAACTCTCCCACATTGTCTAGTGTTGGCCAATCACACACTGCTTTCACCTTGTCATGATCAGTTTGCATCCTATGCTCACTTACAATGTGACCCAAGTAAAGCACCTCTTTCTGGAACAAGTGACATTTCTTGGGATGGAGTTTGAGGTTTGCTGCTTTCAAATGCTTGAATACTTCCTCTAGCTGGGATACTTCCTCATCAAATGTTGCTGCAAACACAATGACATCATCCAGGTACACTAGGGCTATCCTCCATTTTAAGCTTTCCAGTTGTTGGTATTTTTAGCTGTTAAATTTACATGGAACATGTGAAGTAACGTATTTACTCTTAATGTTTTTGTTTCTATGTGAAAAAGGTTACAAGCTAGATTTTTCTGAACACTGTGGATGATGATTTGATATGTAAATTAAGCTGGTTTTGTAAACTGTCTAACGTAAACATAAATATTTTGAAGCATATTCAGGAATGGCCAGAAAATCTAGAAGAAAAAAGTTCATCAGTCATATAAATCATAATCCTGGCTTTTTTTTTCACAGAAATCTTACTGGTATGGCACAGCAACCGAAGATCATCATCCAGTTCCAGTAACAATAAACAATGAAGGAAGAGAGTTTTTTGAAGAAGAACCAGTAGGATTAATGCCAGGAATACAGATAATGTCATTGACAAAGGTATTTAAAACCAAATGTTATGATAAGTTTATTGTAAATGTAATGAATAACTAATATGTTTGCATGTCACATGGCCCCCTTGTTGGTCAATGGTAAATTTATGGACTTATAACAGTAAAATCTGGAATTTGATTCTCTGTGGTAGACACAGCAGGTAGCCCAATGTGGCTCTGCTATAAAATAAACAAACATATTACATGAAAATGGTTGCAGATTACTTTATTAAGTACTATACATATGTACATATTAACCATAAACTTATATTTCGGGTACCATGGCTATCAGAGTGCCATATTTTAATTATACAGTAGTCCTTGGTGGACACAAACCCCTCCCAATAACAACTTCCTTTTGAATACGACTTTTGTCTGGTAACAGAACAATTTTACATTGATCTGACCTCCCACTAACGACTTCCTGATAGATGCGACATACTACCGTGATTTTTGAGCAGGAGGTTGAATAACGACCTCTCTATAATGACTTTTCTTCATATCAATAATGTAATTTACAGAGATACACAAATACATTGTATACAGTATGGAACAAAGAGATCACATGACCAGAGATTGCTTCATGGCTTAGTACATGTATATGTATCTTGGTGCCCTGGGGTGTTCAAGTCAAACTCCTTGGTACATACAGGGTCAGTTAGAAACTGTTATTTGTCTTAGCCCTGCTCTCAGAATTAAGGTTTATCCTTTTAGTGAATTTAGTATATTTTGAGTTAGTGGCGTAGACATTAAGTAACTTGATTAGGATTTACTAGTGGGGTGTGAGGATTATTAACTCGAGGTTTGTTGTGTGATGTACTTGACTAATCTGTGCGGTAAGCATGGCTAATGAAATGCCTCGAGGCATCCAGGAATGCTGCAAATGTCTCAAGCTGAGAACAGGATGTTGCTGTGAAGAAGAAGGTGGCTCAAAATGTTGATATAGAAATGTGATGTGGACATTGATATAGATCAAAGTTGTGACAAAAGCAACAAAACAAACGAGACGTGGAAATTAGATAATTTTAGTCAACTTAAAATTGTTTTAATGCAACATATTACAATTTATATAGTATTTGTATTCAGAGAGGATTACCTTATTAGGTATTGTTTAGAGTTAGCAATATTTTAGTTCACATATTTATCATTATTTCTTTACTGGTTCCTTTAAATTTGCAGAATAGTCCCTTTTCAGAGCTGGGATCAAAGGATCCAAGTTTCAAGGGTGGGGCTGTTTTGTTCATTTAAGATACATAGATTCCGATGTTTGGTTCTTTGTTTGAGATTACAGCATTTTGTATAGATATACTGTGGATTTTTTGAGTTGCAATGGTGGTAAATATGGGATATTTTTATTATGTTTGGTGAATCTAGTTTTTGATTTTGTTCCTGTTTCTCTGATGTAGAATTCTGGACATTTATTGCACATCATTTTATAAATTGATAATAAAATCGTGTGCTGAAAACTAACAACGAAACGCTTCTTGATATAACTGCCAGGCTCATGAACATTCGAAGTGACTCTGTTAAATGTGCAAAACAAACAAAGATGGATGATTTTTTATGAAAACAATTTTTTGTCAGTTTGTAATATTATATATTTACATAATAAAAATGTTATATGTGGATGTTTATGAAATAAATTTGATTGATGAATAAATTATTTTACAAAAAAGAAACAAAACAATTTAAAGTTATCTTTACTGAACTTTTATCCATCGTAACTATTATTATACAGTGTACCAACTTGCTACGTTACTGTCGACCTATACAGTATATAAACCATTTTGTTCAACCCCCAGGAATAGCAAGTGGCACAGCTTGAACATGGTCGTTTGTTATCTGGTTATTGATCCTTTGAATAACGACTTCCTGTCAGATGCGAGTATTTTATCACGGCAGATAGGTTGATTGCATCTAAGAGGGACTACTGTAAAAAAAAGAAAAGATTCATAATAAATGAACTTGAAATGGTTTTGGATGTTATAAATCATATGTAGACTCATATATAAATATTTGTAATAAATATTAAACCTCCATTTAGATCTTTAAGTTTGATGTAAAATTTATGTAATAGCTAATTTTATACTCTTAATGATTGTGAATGGAATGTGGAGCCTCTGTCTAGATTGGTTTGGTGTAATTTGTTTTCTTTAATCAACAACATTTTACTGTATGATTGTTAATGGAATGTAGAACTTCTGACTAGATTGGTTTGGTATAATTTGTTTTGTTTAATCAACAACATTTTACTGTATGATTGTTAATGGAATGTGGAACTTCTGACTAGATTGGTTTGGTGTAATTTGGTTTGTTTAATCAACAGCTTAATATTTTTTTTGTTTTACCTGGTCCATAATTTATCAGATATATTTCACATTTGTATATTTATTAACTGTTGTTATACTGAACACTTTTTCATTTTTAAAAGGTTTTTGGCAAAAAGTATGCTGTTAACAACGTCACTATTAACATGTATCGCAGCCAAATAACAGCATTATTAGGACACAATGGTGCAGGCAAGTCGACAACTATATCAATGTTGACAGGTGAGTTTAACAAATAATCTAGCAGCACTGTATCAACTAGTATGACACTTACAGAAAAACAAATTTGATTTCAGAGAAATAAGCACTGTAGTTAACTTGATATTTTATGCTACAAACATAGTTAAAGTTTTCTTACTTTAGAGAAGAGGAATATTTGTTATCTAAGTAGAAAATGATAAAACAAAAATATTGTAATTAGGTTTTTTCAAGAGAGAATTTTTGAAACTTAAAGTTTCAAAGGGAAAAAAAAGAAACCGATTCAGATTTTCAGGAAATATCTTGAGATTCCATCATCCCAGAAGATTTTTCAGTCTTTGAAGGCCATGGTTAGCAATTGATTTAGTTGGTAAAATCAATGGACAAACTTCCATCATAAATCCATTGTTACCAGTTTTGTAATTTCATTACACTCTGATCATGAAATGACCCATCATTGTGCAAAGATGAAATCTTTAGTGTAGTGAATGAGATTTATCTTTTTAAGTTGTTGTTCAGTGATATGAAGTGATTTATTTACTTAAGTAATTCACTTTATATAATCATTAAGAAATTGTATAAATTTATCAATCACTGTTTAATATTTGTTTTGTTCTATAGGTTTGTTCCCAGCCACCTGCGGGACAGCATTAGTGAATGGCTATGATATATCTAATGAGATTGTGGGAGTCCACACTGGACTAGGAATTTGTCCACAACATGATGTCCTTTTTGATGACCTAACTGTAGCTGAGCATTTAAAATTTTTTTGCAAGGTCTGTTTTACATTTATAGAGATTGTAATTAAAATTTTAACCATTGGTCAAAGTGTTTCTTATTGCAACCTTTTTTACACAGTTACATTCAGATTTATTTTAATAAAATTGGTATCAGAATGTTCTTTCTAAATTTTAATATTTTGTAAGTTTTAATTTCTTAATTTCAAAAGTAAATATTTGAAACTTAGAGTTACATTTTAATGAAATTGGCATTAGAAAGTTTCTCTAAATTGTAATATTTTATTAGTATTATTTTCTTAATTTCAAAAGTAATTATTTAAATATATTCTCAATCTTAAGTTCTCTGTATCACGTGGCACTTTTGCACTCGAAACAGTCTATTTTATATTTTATTTCTACCTCTATATAATATTCTGAGTTTAACACAAGTTACACATTTATATAATAGATATTTCTAAGCTAAGTTTAGCACAAGTTACACATTTATATGATAGATATTTCTAAGCTAAGTTTAGCACAAGTTACACATTTATATAATAGATATTTCTAAGCTGAGTTTAGCACAAGTTACACATTTGTATAATAGATATTTCTAAGCTGAGTTTAGCACAAGTTACACATTTGTATAATAGATATTTCTAAGCTGAGTTTAGCACAAGTTACACATTTGTATAATAGATATTTCTAAGCTGAGTTTAGCACAAGTTACACATTTGTATAATAGATATTTCTAAGCTGAGTTTAACACAAGTTACACATCTGTATAATAGATATTTGTAAGCCATTTTTAGTTTTCTTGCTGTATTGAGATGTAACAAGTAAACCAAACCCACATGCTATACTCCTCCTGTTGCATGCTGTCTTTCAAAAAATACCAGTAACTGTCTTTGGTATTTGCTGTTTTATTTTTTATAAACAATAGAAAGTTAAATTCTAATTCACTGAATTCTGTATGGTGATATCTAGTTAATATGACAGGTTTTGAAACATTCGTTCTCAGTTTCATTACTTGCTGCTATGGAGCATACCTCGATCAGCTGATGGAATATTTAAATCTATTTATATCTTGGTTAGAAAGCCAGTTAAATCGTAGCAGTTTTAGAACATTCTATTTTAACATAACATAACTTTAGGACAATATGGGACCTATTGGTCAATCCTGGCTGTTCCATCCTCTAAACTAAATTAAAATAATTAAAAAATCTTAAAGCCAGCCCTTTTCATTCATATACCTATCAAGCTTTTTCTTAAACTCACTTACATTTACTGCCTCTACAACATCTGAAGGCAACCAACTTCAAAAGCCAACCACTCGGTTAGAAAAATGAAACTGTTTTAGCTGAAGATGACTCCTACCCTGCCAAAAGTTATATTTGTGTCCTCTTGTCCTACTATTCTCACTGTTAAATATGAAAAAAGATGATGCATCAACACTATCAATTCCCTTTACAATCTTAAACACCTCACTCAGATCCCCCCTAATTCTTCTTTTTTCAAGAGAAAACAATGAGAGATTTCAGCCTCTCCTTGTATGACAACCCCTCCACCCCAGTCACCATTCTAGTAACCCTTCTCTGAACCCTTTCCAATATTTCAATGTCTTTTCCTAAGGTAAGGAGCTCAAGATTGAACACAATATTCCAAATGTAGCCTAACTAGTGACCTGTACAATGAAAGTATAACCTCTTTAGACTTGTATTCAATATTTCTATAGAAACAACCTAAGATCCTATTTGCCCTACCACTAGCAATAGCTCACTGCTTGGATGGCTTGAGGGACTGATCAATAATTACACCAAGACCCAC